ATTAATTAATTAATTCCTTGCTCCTCTCCTGATTGCAATTGAATTGTTAAAGAAATTGTGCCACAATGACGCTAACAACATTCTAACCTCTCACTTCCAAACCGGGTCGCTTAGCTCAGTTGGTTAGAGCGTGGTGCTAATATGGCGGGTCCTGACAACAGGAGCTTCATCAGTTGACGCCAAGGTCGCGAGTTCGACCCTCGTAGTGACCAGCTCGGTATCGTGAGATGATTGGAATGTTGTCTTTTGCTTTTTGCGTGGCCGTGGTGTGACAAGAAATGGGTGGTGGTGTTTTGCTGGCGGGGAAGTCAGGCGGGATGGAGGCGCGGTGTACCTGCTGTACGGCATGTCTGGACTGGCGCGGTAGGATGGATTTGGCAGTGTTGCATTTTGCTGCTTCGGTGGTGGGAGGTTGGGAGGAGAGCGAGATGAAGCGCGCTGCCCTGCCCGAAGCAATTTTTCGACAACAAAGGGTGTGAAACTTGTGACTCTGGCGGTGGATCGGGCTCTGAATGCCAGATAAGTACAGCTGAGCTGTGGTTCAAATCCTCCCCGCATGCGTTTGGAAATTTTGCGGAGCATACGAGACTACAGTACGAGTTTCTCACCTGGAGCCGCATTCTTTGGGAATCTCAAGATGAGACGTGCGGTCGAACAGTCCGGCTTGAAAATTGACAGTCCTTGAGTCGAAAGTGACTGACTGACTGACTGCTTTCTACGGTTCTATGTCTGAATTTTGAGCCACTGGATGACATGCGTAGTGCTTGAAATACAATTGATGGTTTGAACTCATCGTTAGGGTCAAGGAAAAGAAGATGGATATTTGCTGCAGCAGTCTGGATTGACGAATATCTTTTTCAGGAGTAACAGTGAGCAGGAATTTGGCAAGAATTTTTCATGGATCAGAGCAGCATAACAAATGTAGCCAGAGTAAAGAAAAATCGTGTCAGAAAGGCAATTGATCATGATATCACTACCACGGTTCACGCGACACGAACCTCAAGTTTGAGAAAAAAAAAAAAAAAAAAAAAAAAAAAGGGGGGGGGGGGGGGGGGGGGGGGCAGCTGTTTTGACGAACAGTTCACTGTACTTTCATGCTACAACTTCCGGAGCTCATTTCAATATCTGATTCCACTTTCTCACCAACCACACAAACGGCGCCCGCGCGCAAGTGCGAAGGTAGGCAGGCATGCACGCAAGAAGAGTGCCATACGTGGTGCAGGGAGAGAGAGACAGGCAGGCAGGGAAACAAGGAGTTGCTTTGCATTGCATTCCTCTTCCCTTCCCGTCCCGCCGTTCCATGCGGGCGGGCTGGCGGGGATTGAGTTTTCCTTTTTTTTTCTTTTTTTTTCTTCCCTTTTTTTCTTGTTCCGGGTTTTGACAACGGTTCGCGAGTGGTTCGTGAGTGAAGGAGTGGAGGAATGGGGGAGATCGGCGGCTGAGAAGGAAAAGAGGCGTCCGTTTACTTTGGTACTTTCACATGCTGCGCGGGACAAGGAGATGATGGTTCGTTCGTTCGGCTTGGTCTGTAGAGTGAATGACTGCGGTCGTGGGGTAAAGAGTATGTATTTACTGTACTAATGATTTACTCGTTGGTTTATTTACAGAACGGGCGGGCGGGCAGCGAAATGTGTGATTCTCTTCCCTCCTCCTAGCAAACGTGATTCCAGAATCTAATCGTGAGAGAGACGAGACGCATTGCTGACACCGCGGCTGGCCGCCTACGGATCAGATCACCGCACCGCGCAAACAGCACAAGGCGCGACGGGACAAGCAAATGGCGAGATAGAGTGTCCTGAGACACCGCGGCCAAAAGCTTTTAAAAGTCAGCCAGCCAGCCAGCCAGTCAGACAGTCAGACAGCCTCTCGCAAATCTCACAAAAACCAATGAGAACGAAGACGACGACCCAAGAAGCGGCGCGGGGAAAGGCGTCCGTCCGTCAGTCTATCAGGGTTCACTCGCGCAAGGGGTATCCCTGGAAAAAACAGGGTCATGCATGGAAGACGCGTTGTGACAGACGAGCGGTAGTTGCATACAGCAGCACATATGTCGTCGTCTGGCGAAGACTCATGGGTGATACAGTCAATCAATCACACTGTTTGCCAGTCAGTCAGTTAGTCGGTCGTTTGGTTGGTCAGTAGTCTGGTCGGGTTGGTGCATCTGTCATTGATTTGCCTCAGTGGAAAAGGCGGGGCTCCCTGTTTTCGTGGATAGGTACGGTAGGCTGGTATTGTTTTGAGCTGATTGACTGACTGACTGACTGACTGACTGGTGAGGGTGGGATGGGCGTCAGACTACGGGCGAGCGAGAACGTCAACAGAATATCTCGTCCATTTCGAAGTGCCGGGTACAGCGATGCCAGCAGACACAACGTCTCTTCTCTTTCACTACGGCAGGAGACAGCGCAGAACGTACAAGGTACGTACTCACCAATCAATCAATCAATCAATCAGTCAGTCAGTCAATAATCGAACCCAAGCTTGACACATGCAAGCATCACATAAACGGACGAATGGGTGAATTCATGGATGGATTCATGGATGGATGGACGGACGGAAGCGACGGTTCGACGGTGCTATCTGTACATACATACTGCACATACGCACCACCTACCGCCGAAGCGCCGCGGACGCCGACGAAGCAAGCAGGGAGGCAGAGGGACGGGCCGGCGTGAGGGGCGGCGGAGGCGGCGGGTCAACACATGCACTACTATTGGATCAGCTGGGACGGGCTGATAGAGTGATATACATAGATGCGTCAATCGAGATGGGATGGGATAAATTGAGACAAAACTAACGTGGCGAGGGAGTCAAATCCAACGACCAGCCTTCTACATCAATAGGTCGGCGGCCGAGTAAGTATAGTAGGTTGTTAGTTGATGATGGTAAAAGTGAGCGTAGTGAAGCAGTCACTCGCGTTTAGAGTCTGGGTGAGGAAAGTCGACGCGGGATGGCTGGCCATGACTGATACGACATGAGGCGACTCGCTCACTCGCGCGGCATATCTTTGTCGTTGGCTCGTACGTACGAGCGATTGTGGTGGATGGATGGATGGATGGTTGGTTGGTTGGTTGGATGGTTGGATGCAGCTCAGCAGTATGTATTGATTGCTTGTGAAATAGGTTGGTCGGGGTTCATGCGGGGGCAAGCAGGGAAGCAAACGGGACGGACGGACGGGACGGGAAGAGTGGACGGGGATGATGGGCGGTTTGTTGGCAAGGGACTGGATTTGGCAGGAGAAAAAATTGAAGAGATCAGAGTGGGCTGGGCAGTCAGTCATTTGGAGAGCTCATGGGCGTTGTATACTAGATGCGCGTAGTGATGTCTCTTCCCCTGAAAATTCCCCCTTTTCATCCCAAAACCATGCAAGTTACTACGCAAAACCTCTTGCCAAACTCCATCTTCCGTTGAATTCTGCTTTGTTCATCTGGACAAGCGCTTTCTGCAGACCAGGTAAACGACTCCAAAGGAGACTCCCACACTTCTGGTTCCTTCAGGCGTGCTTCTCCGGCACCCACACGCAGGTACCCGTCTATCCGTGCAGCCTGCAAGAGATCTTCATTCCACGTACATGAAGAAACGCAGTACGTGCAAGCCGCGGATCAGTGCATGAAAAATGCCCCTTCTGCAGAGGCAAAATAGAAGAAAAATGAAGAAAGTGAAAAGGAAAAACCGGCGTCACACGGCACCCGCAGCGCGTGTGGCAGCAGCGGCAGCATGGCTTGCATTGTCTTGTTTTCCATGTCTGCAGTGCAGCGGTGATAGAAGTACGATGATGCGACGTCTCTGCAGTGTGAGCGAGCAGAATGTACATGTCGTGCTGCCGTGGAGTGAGCGTGGCAGACTGAGAGTCCCTGCTTTCCTCTCTGCGCGTAGCTGGCCACAATTCTGGCAGCGCAGTATTCTGAGCTCATAGAGTCGATCCACGCGCCTGCTTCTGAACTCGCAGTGAAGATGCATATGCAAAGCTGCTTGATGCTCACAGACAGATAAATCGTATCATGGCGTTATTGTTGATTTGGTGACGGGGACCCCGAACAACAGGATAAGGGCAAGAAGATGAAGAAAATCACTGACCGGAAAACTCCACCATCCTGCTGCTGTGATGATCGTAATGTGAGCAGGCTAATATCACAGCATTGGTCGCCTCCCTTCTGATTGACCTTCCCAGTGGTGCAATGCAGTCCTGACGTACATCTTCGTCCCCTTTCCATCACCACCATGTCGCATGCGCCAAGTCGCAAGGCCGTTGTCGACTGCACGCATTCGACGTACACGCGCCCTGTCCGCAGCTCCGTTGCTGTCGTATGTACCTCCGAAGACTCGAGCTATGTCCGACAAACGGCTGCAGAATGCAAACTCCAGCATTGCCGACCCATGCCTGTTCACCGGTCGAGCTGCAGCATCGCGTCGGCAGGTCCGCCCACCCACTGACATATGCTGGCGGCCGCGTCCCGGGTCCTCACCAACCGACAGTATAGCAGCGTCTTGCTGGATGATTAGCTGCCCTGAAAAATAAGGACCAGCCAGCCACGCGCAATGACCGGTCCGTCTTTTTGTTTTCCTTGCTCTTTTTGCGCGTGCATCATGCTGGCGCCATGTTTGCCATTCCGTGGCGTCCATGGCAGTGAGAACCGCGAGGCCACCAACATCATGGCACCACTTGCAGTTGCAAAGTGTGCTGCTAACGGTCCGACGAGAGGACGGCTTGCCTGCTTGCCTGACATGAGATCATCGCAGCGGAGCCCTGCCAGTCTGTCAACTGCTGTTCGCTCATCCAGACGTCACCTCTCTTTCTTCGACCGCGCCGGCTCCCGTCCTTGGTAGATGCCGGAGGCCGTTCGCAATGGTGTCCGTCGACCTGCCGTCGTCCACGGCTCGCAGGACCTTTTGAAAATTTTCCTATCTCAGTCGGTTGGGTTGCCAACAACGGCAATGGATCCAGCCCAGCAAGGCGTACAGAGCATTCGCTTGCTGCGCAAACATTGCTCGCTTCGGCTCGTCCGTGGTCGGTCGCTGCGCTCGCTGACTAGACAGGTTCTAGGGCTCCAGCAGCGCAAAGTTCCAGACCGGACATGCCCAGTTTGCCGAGTCCAGCCCAGCACAGGGTACTGTGGCTGCGCAGCGCAACGCGTCTTCAGGGTTCTGTGTCAGGGTTCATGGACTCAGGGTCGATGGCCGCTCCGGGTCCGGGATTTTGCAGCAGCGGCGG